TTTACCTTTTACTCGAGAAATTTCTGCAGGCATACTTTCTTTATGGCCCTCCAAGTTTTCGTTTGCCTTTAATTAACTGAAAATCTCCGTCCTTTCTTTCCGTTGTCTTTCTGTCGCTTCGTCTGGGAAAAATGGTTGGTGATTCCTCTTGCACCAATCTTCCTGCCACAGTTCTGGCACCGGAAAGTGCTGCTCAGGCCACCTGAGGGGTAGATGCGGTGGAAGACGAGGAGATCCCGTCGATAGTCGAGATTTTGCCTTGCCCTGGGAGAGAATTGGCCGACTTCAGCAGTCGCGCTGGGGAGACCGGGGCAGAGCCAGAGCCTATCCCTTCTATTCTGAGAGAAGTAGACATTGCAGAGTTGAAAACCAGGTGGGGGATCCCCGACTACATTGACATGCGACCGGCAGAAGGGACCGACATTGTTTACTTTGACCGTCCTGGGTATTGCGTATTTTACGCCTACCCCTTTCTGATTGGATACATGCTTCCTCTCCCTCTCCTGGTGGTAGACTTCTGTTGTTTTTATGAGGTATGCCTTGCTTAACTTTTGTCATACCTGTACAAGTTGTTCCTTATGTTGCTCAAGTTTGCAGAACTCACCGGTAGTGAGATCACTTTGGACCATCTGCTCAGTATCTTCGCCCCTCAACTCATCCACGACATGATGTTTCACATGCGTCCTCAGGGGTTGAAGAGCCTAGTGGTGAAAATGGACGACAGGACCGACCGCCATTTTTATGAGAATTATTTTTATGTGCGGGCTGAGCACATTGTGGCGGATCCGATGGGGTTCCCTGAGAAATGGAACTTTGTACGTAACTCATGCTTCTAGTCGGAGATATATCCGACTGTTTTTTTTACAATACTAAGCTTTGTCATGTCTTTGCAGCCGAAAAATTGCCGCCTCCCCTTATCAAAAATATCCGTGAGTGGGTGAGCGCTATTCTCCCTCATACGGCGGGGGTTAGCACATGGGCGGCCATTTATGACAAGTATGGACGTAGGCCTATTTCTGGTAAGATGTCGTTTTTGTTAGCCATTTTCTCTTTTCTCTCTTTGTATTTAATTCCTCACGTGCTATTTGTCGATGTCAGGGAGGGTAAGGAGAATGAGGGCTCCTCCGTTAGCTTTCCGGCAGTCGGCCTCATCTACTCACCCTGTCGCGGTACCTATCGCTCGACCTTCGTCGAGGGCTGCTTTAGTTGAGTCTGCGGCCTTGGTTACTCCTACAATGGCCGCTTCTCAGGCCGAAGTCCCGACCCGCGTTGCTCGCCCGACGGGTGAATCTTCGTCTCCTGGGGAAGAGGGGGCTGTCGAAGAGAAGGAGAGTGGAGTTTGAGACTGCTCCCCCTACAGTGATTCTTCTAGGAGACTATCCTATGACAGGATATGGAGAGGGGTTGTCGTGGCTTCTCTCGTAGGGACTAAACTAGTCGTTGCCTCAGCTTAATCAGAGATTCCCACCATTATCGGTGGTCAGCAACCTGTCGTGGCGGAAGGTCAGAATTCTGGGGATGTTGTTATAGTTTCGGACGTACCCTCATCCTCTATAGTTGGTCGTGATTCCTCTTCGGCAGCCAAAAGAGGGAAAGGTGTGGTGGTCGACGATTACGAATCCGAATCGGACGTCGACCCTGATGATGTCAGGATGTTTGAGGAGGGACTTACTCACTCGGTGGTCCGTGTGAGAGGATCGGCCCGTATTCTTGAGATCCTTTCGGATACCAATCTCTTGGGAGACATGGAGGATCTGGTTCCGCAGTTCAGCAAGTTATGCTCTGCAGCCAAGAATGCGGTCCTTCGATTCGTTCCTGATGTTGATTTGATGGATGAGGTGGCCGCTATGGGCTTATGGGTATGTTAAGCTTACTTTTTCTTTTCCCTCGCCTTTCTTGATGATACAATGCTAACCCGTCTTTACATTTTTCAGACGTATATGGTGGAAGTGGAAAGCATTCGCAGGGCCAACATTCGGGCCAAAATTTTCTTGAAGATGTTGGAGAAATATCGTCGCTACCGCAACAAGTGCCGCGAGATGCATGAGCGGCTAAGAGCAAACCCCGGTAATCGGGCTCTTGGTGAGGAGTTAGAGAAAAGGGACCAGGAGTTGATGCAAGCTATCCGCAGCAGGAGTGTTCTTGAAGAGCAACTTCGAATAAAGGATGAGGAGCTCGAGTTGGGCAAGGGAGTTGCCGCAGAATGCGAGCATCTGCAGGAGAAATTGAGGTCAATGTAGTCGGAGATGGATCAGAACTTGATCAAGGTCAACGCGCTGAGCGTGGAATGGATGGGGAAATTGACCGCGCTGGGTTAGAGAGCATTGAGATTCCTTGGTCCGCGGCTTCGGCGAGGGCGGCAGCCCTGGAGAACACCATCCGCGTCCTCCAGTCCGAACAAGAGTTGGAGAGAGCGATAGCTACCCTCATGAAGGCAAGGCGCGAGGAGCGTATTAGCGAGATTGATCAAGAGGCATCGGTTGTGGGAGATTGGGTCGCACCATTGGAGGCAGAAAATGGGCGACTGTTGGCTCAGATTGAATCTTCCTCCACCGTCCTTCCCTGCCATATGCACGAGCATTGGGATTACACCGAAGCCCAGCATGATATATATAAGAGTTTGTGGGAGGCGGGTACTACGACTGAGGTTGCATATGAAGGAGTGCAAGTGAAAGCAGGTGAGTCTCGCGTCAATTACAGGTATGATGCGGCGACTCTTGAATCTAATGGGGGTGCGGATGCCGAAGGAGAACTTCCCGGAGATGGCAATGGAGAGGGTGGCGATAACAATGCAGAGCAGAGGGATAGTGATGTTGATTTGTTTTCTGTTGGTTGTTTCATTCCCAATTTTTTGTTCGTAGTCGATTGTCGTTGTTCCTTTTTTTTATTTTAGACTATTGACTTGGGTCTTATGTAATCCGTGACCATTTTCGCGGAGACTTTGTATAAAGGAGAATTTTTTGATGTTATTTGCTTTGTATTCTATTATTGTTTTCGTTTCACGTGATTCCGATGCGAGATAGATTTCCGCACGGCGAGTCCCGGTGTTTTGCATTTTTCGATGATTCTTGGCCTTAGGAATATTTCGCACTTTCTCATTGGCGACGGCTTATGGCCTTAAAGGGTGTTATTTCGAACTTATCGAAATAGTAACCCATCTTCGTTCGATCGAGGTTGAAATTTTCTCTTTTTGGCGAAGGCCCTTGGCCTTAATGGGTGTTATTTCAAACTTATCGAAATAGTAACCGGTCATCGTTCGATTAAGGTCGGGCTCTTCTCTTTTTGGCGAAGTCCCTTGGCCTTAAAGGCTGTTATTTCGAACTTATCGAAATGTAACCCGTCGTCGTTCGATCGAGGTCGAACTCTTCTCTTTTTGGCGAAGGCCCTTGTCCTTAAAAGGTGTTATTTCAAACTTATCGAAATAGTAACCCATCGTCGTTCGATCAAGGTCGAACTCTTCTCTTTTCGGCGAAGGCCCTTGTCCTTAAAGGGTGTTATTTCGATCTTATCAAAATAGTAACCCGTCGTCGTTCAATCGAGGTCGAACTCTTCTCTTTTCGGCAAAGGCCCTTAGCCTTCAAGGGTGTTATTTTGAACTTATCAAAATAGTAACTCATCATCGTTTGATCGAGGTCGAACTCTTCTCCTTTTGGTGAAGGCCATTGGCCTTAAAGGATGTTATTTCGAACTTATCGAAATAGTAATCCGTTGTCGTTCGATCTTGGTCGAACTCTTCTCTTTTTGGCGAAGGCCCTTGGCCTTAAAGGGTGTTATTTCGAACTTACTGAAATAGTAACCCGTCGTCGTTCGATTGAGGTCGAGCTCTTCTCTTTTTGGCGAAGGCCCTTGGCCTTAAAGGGTGTTATTTCGAACTTAACAAAATAGTAACCCATCGTCCTTCGATCGAGGTCGACTCTTCTTTTTTGCGAAGGCCATTGGCCTTAAAGAGTGTTATTTCGAACTTATCGAAATAGTAACCTGACGTCAATCGATCGAGGTTGAACTCTTTTCTTTTCGACGAAGGCCCTTGGCCTTAAAGGGTGTTATTTCGAACTTATCAAAATAGTAACTCGTCGTCGTTCGATCGAGGTTGAGCTCTTCTCTTTTCGGAGAAGACCCTTAGCCTTAAAGGGTGTTATTTCGAACTTAACGAAATAGTAACCCGTCGTCCTTCGATCGAGTTTGAACTCTTCTCTTTTTGGCGAAGTCCCTTGGCCTTAAAGGGTGTTATTTTGAAATTATCGAAATAGTAACCCGTCGTCGTTCGATTGAGGTCGAACTCTTCTCTTTTTGGAGAAGGCCCTAGGTCTTAAAAGGTGTTATTTCGAACTTATCAAAATAGTAGCTGTGAGCACGTGATTTTTGCCATACATGAAATACTCCTACAAAATCTAAAAAAATAGATTTTTTTATTGATTATTTGCCATTTTTAGGAATTTTGTAGATTTTTATTAATTGTTTACATTTTTCTTGCTTGTTAATTTTTATTCAAATCATAAAAATACCAAAAATATCATGCACTGCATTTAGGATTTATTTTTACACTTTTTAGAGTTAATCCGTAATTACTTGTTTTGTAAAATTTGAAAATCACAAAAAAAATAGTTCGTTTTCACATTTTTGCCTTTAATTTTTAGCTCATTGATTTTTCACTTTTAATATATATTTGAGTAATGTTTACAATTTTATAATTAGTTAATTATCTTGATTTTACATTTTTTAGATAATTTAGGATTTTTTTAAATTTTGGGATTTCTAATTAAAAAAAAGAAGAAGAAAGAGAAAAGAAATTAATTGAAGACAAGAGTTTCATTTGGTTTTGGGCCATTTTAAACACCCCAATTTCGGCCCAAATTCTTCCCCTTAAACATTCATACTCTCCAGCCCAAAGAACCCTCCTCCCTTACCACCCCAGTCCAATTAAACCGGGTTCAGCCCAGCAAAAATGAACCAACCCGCCGGTTCGACCCGTTTCCTTCTTAAATATAAAAGCCTCCTTATAATTCTTTCCCCCATTTGAACCCTAAACCTAGAAAATCAGAGACGGTGTCCCCTCTACTATTCTTCTTCTTCTCCTCAACTCGCCTCAACTCGTTTGAGTTTTGAGCGAGTTCATTCATTGGTCTCCCCCTCCATGGCACCTTATCCTCAACAGATTTGTCAGAGGAGTACGATATTCTCTCAAAATTGCACGATTTCGGATTCAAAAGGACAATTGTTGGGCGAATGGGAGCCGTGGATAGATGTGAATCAATCCACGCCCTCCATTTGTCCCAAAATTGTTCAGAAATCTGAAGATTTTCGGATTCTAGGCAGAAGCTTCGAGATATTTTGAGGTTTATATATAAGGTGAGTTCTTTTCTTGTTAGAGGAAAAAAGAAATTTTCAGAAAATTAGGGAGTAAAATTCTAGGGTTCTTGGAGTTTTTCATTTCTTCAAGCCTTTTCTTTTAAATTTCAGTCTGCGTCTTTTCAAAAAAAAATAAAAAAGTTATAGTCTGAGTTTTGATTTTCGATTCAAGTATTATTTTATTTCGAAAGGAATCAAAAATTATAAATCTCAGCATTTTTCTTTGATCTCTGATTTTCAAGAATGTTTTTGATTTGAAGTATAAGTCGGGTTTTGTCGCTGGGGTTCGGAGCTTTGGAGTTGTGAATTTCCATTCGAATTTCTGTTGCATTTGGGAGTTGGCTAGTTGATTTGCTGGAACTCTCTTCACATTTTCCTTTAGTTTATTTGGCATTTTGGTTGCCATTTTTTGTTGTCCAGGTACAGCTCATTAATTAAATGACATGAACCTGCAGATTAGTTTGGGAATAAGAACTGATGGAAATTGTTCATATGTCAGCTGTCCTGTTACCTTTGTTTGATCGCTATTGTTGGTTAGTTTAATTGCTGAAGTTTTTTTTAGTTCCTACTTTTGCTTCTTCTTCGGCTCTATTTTTTTTATGATCTGGGTCAGAATCAGATCTCTTGATGTTTGTATTAGTCTTAGCTTCTTTCGTTTCCTCTATAGATCCAGGAAAGTTTTTTTAAAGTTTTATGAGGGGATTGTTAACACTGAATTGGGCATTTTGTTTGGTTTAGATTGACTTAGTTTTCTTTCTTATGTGACGCTGATTTGTGCGCACATGTAGTGTGTTCAACTTTAAGAGGTCAAATTTGCCTTGTGATGCAATAGTTTTTTTTTAAGTTGAGCAAAAGTAAGGAAAAGATTTTTTGTAGTCATATTGTCATAATTAGTGGTGTATCTTAATTCACTTTAATGAATGTTTAAGTATGCTAAGTAGTTTGATGTTGTGCTTATTGTGGCATCAAGGTAGCGTGTTCAATCTGAGTGCAGTATACTCCCAGCCTAAAAATGATATTTTGCTTATGAATCCACTTCTCAACATAGCCCAAGCATTGATTCCCTTTTAAAAATTGGTAGGAAAGAGATGGCATTGCATTATATTTATCTATCATCCCTACGATTGATTGCTAATGCTGAACAAATCTGTACCAAAGGAAGTTTTACTAAAATTTGTTTTGAATGTACTATATTTAAAGTCAAGGAATATAAATCAGTGTAGTATTTTAATTGCAGAAATATACAATTTATTAGTGTCATAGCTTTCATGTAATTAACAGATTTCATATTTCAATGGCTAATTCATCCATATACTCGAGTTGTTAAGTATTTCCAGTATGTTTAAATGAAATTGGTCTATCCCTTTTTGTAATTGGCCTAGTGACTAACGAAGGCCCAAAAGGCCTTCCTTTTAAAAATGGATTCGGCCGTCCAGGAGTTGGGATATGAATTGATTAGAATGGCTCCAACTTTAACCTTTGGCATTTTGAATCATTTCCAATTGTTCAATTAAGGATTTTCTTGGAATGAATTAACAGATTTCTGTGCCCCCTTCCCTTTAATTAAAACAAATATAAACAAATAGGCATATGTTGAAACCCCCTTTGAAATAATTTGAGGCGTGCCATGCCAAATAAAATTTTTAAGCCCATGGTCCTCGTATAATTAGTAATAACTCTTTTAGATCGAGGTGCGCCATTAATAAAAAATTTCATGGCCCTCGCAAACCTCTTATTAATCTAAATACTCGTAGTTTGCTTTAGGCTCAATTTAGACTAGCATTATGATTATGTATACGTTCGCGTAACATAATTGCAAATTTAACTCTAAAAGGACTCGAGGGATGCGTTCGTGCAACTTCAATCAAATTTTCTTAAATAAATAAATAAAGCGTTATTAATTGTGGACACGTTCGTGTGATATAATTTTTGATGCACCAAAGGAAAAGAGTATACGTACGCGTAACTCAATTCTTTAATTATGAATAATTCAAGTGATTTAAAAGTGGTAAAAAGATAATTGCACATAGGTTTTAAAAATGAGTAGTCAAATAATTAAGCCAAGTATAAATTGCTAAGTGACCGTGCTAGAAATACGGAACCCAGGAATGCCTAATACATTCTCCCGGTTTAATAGAATTCCTTACCTAGAATTTCTGGTTTGCAGACTTTTAAAAAATAAAAATTTCTTAGATTTGGGATTTAAAATAAACCGGTGACTTGGAACACCAATTAAAATATTCAGAGTGGCGATTCTGAATTGAATAAATAATCCCATTTCGAATAATGTCACTTAGATTGGAAAACTCCCTTGTATACCTCTTCGGGTGCGTAAAAAGGAGGTAGACAGTTCTGGCGACTCTGCTGGGGAATATGAACCCACAACTTCCGGTTTAGGGTTCAAGAATTCGAGCTTGTTAATGCGATTTTTAGTTGGCTTTATTGTTGATTACTGTATTTTTTGGACTTAATGTGCTTTGTCATTTACTGCTTTTATATTACTTGAACTGTATTTAAATGTCTTCTTACGCCATCCATATGAGTCTTCTGAAAATGGTGCACACGTTCGTGTGGCCCGCTTTTTCTGTAGAAATTATACCAAATAAGACGGGCTAGGCAAGCAACAAGGCCGGGCAAACTTTCGTACTCCTGGTACGTTGCCCCCTCCTCGACCCCAGTTGTCCGCTCGGGTAACCCGAGTCTAGACCACAAACCCCAGGTTTTAAACTTAGAATAACGCAACCTCATGCTGGATCCCTAGTAGGAACGATTATTTGCATCACGTTCACTTGACCTTGGGGACTCAACACAGGAGTTGGGTCCGTCTAGGACAGGTGTACCCAAAATAAAGACCATCCTGATGCATCCTACGTGCTATGTGAATATTTATCTGTTTCGGCTTACATGTTGACCCACTAGGAAAGAAAATAAAGATAAAAACCAAGAGTGAGGTAGGAGAGAGAATTTACCCGGTTTTTAAAAATCCCGGTATTTGAAAATATCCCCAAACCCTGCCGAATTTTTGAAAGTGAGTCAAATATCATGTTTTTGTGTCAAAACTAACCGAACTGCGTAGGTCTGATTCTCACCGGGTGTGGAATACGTAGGCAACTCACATAAGGTTCGGCCTCTTTTTTACCAAATAATAAAATAAAAGGTGTTTCAGGGCTTTGGTCAAAAAAATAAAGTCGACTCGGTTTCGATTTATTTTTAAGTCGTTTCTTAATGGAATTGCCTTATATTACATTCCAATTGTCAAAAGGCTATTTTCGGGAGAAACATGAAAGTTTGTTTAAAAGGTGTCTTTTTCTTTTAAAATACTTAATCCCGGCCTCAAAATTCATTTGGAATTGTGAAGGAGCCACGTTTGCAAAAACGACCATTTTACTAACATAGCAATAAAAGGGGTCCTTGTCCGTTGATTTTTTTTTTTAGAAAACTTGTTTTGCAAAAAAGAGTCTACAAGAGTCAACCCTAACCTTAACCCTCCACAGGTACAAATGAATACCGTCCAGTAATCATCACAATCTGTCATAGAAAGGGCTCAGATGCAGCTACATAAGTGGTGAGTTGATTTAGATGAAGATGACCAACTTTGGGTAAAAGAGCAGTTGGGTTTCCTGGTAGACATCATGTACATCAAACCACAGGAGGATTTTATTAAGGCTTTGTTGACCTTTTGGGATCCCGTTCACAATGTATTCCGTTTCTCGGATTTTGAGCTCACACCCACTCTGGAAGAAATAGCTGGGTATATTGATTTCGGCCAAGAGTTAAGAAAGGAACAACTCATATTCCCAGGGCCCCATTAGTACACAAATTCTTCGATCTTTTGAAAATTAACAAACAAATGAGCAAGGACCGCACAAGCAAAGGGAGTTGTTCGCTCTACTTCCTGTATTTCAGGTTTGGGCACTCGGCCAGGTTTGAAACACATGAAAAAGGGTTGAGTAACAAACAAGACAAGAGCACATGGTAAATTTATCGTTGGTTTGCTTTTATCGTGGCATTTCTGGGAATCATGGTATTTCCGAATACTGAGGATACAATAGACCTTCGTATGGCCAGAATCATACAGGTGCTCATCGACAAAAAAGATCACACACTTGTCCCATTAGTGCTGGCGGACATTTACCAGGCATTAACATTGTGCAAATTTGGGGGTCAATTTTTCGAAGGCTGCAATATTCTTCTTCAAATGTGGATGATCGAACACCTTCGCCGTCATCCTAAGTTCACGAGATATGCTTCAGACGAGAATAATTTCATCAAAAAGTATGAGGAAAAGGGTGGAAGACTACAAACTGCCAGAAGGGTTTGAAGCCTGGGTTTCCTATTTGAGAAAATTGAGAGCAAATCAAATTGAATGGACCATAGGATGGCTCCCGATAACAGAGATCATATACATGACTGTTTCAAAGGGTTACTTGATGATGATGGGAGCAAGAAGTATACAACCATATGCACCACAAAGAGTTCTAAGACAACTGGGAATATATCAGGTGATACCCAAAGAGGCAGACCTAAGCACCCAAGTCATTGAACTACACCTACAAGCAGCGATCCTTGAGGCTTTAGTTCAAAGGGACTGGAATTGTTGTCGGTACCTAAAAAGTAACACCCAGGTACCAGACCCGGCTAAGGGCGAAGTTGATCCCAATTATGCTGCTTGGTTTGAAAGGAGTTTTTATGTGAACAATGAGCCGGAGCCGGAGCCCGAACCCGTGAGGACCGCCAAAATGTCCCATGTTCAAGCCTTTGATGAAAAAATTCAAGAAAGGTTAGCCTGGGGGGAAAAGGAATATCAGGCCACCATTCATGTTTTGCGAGAAGAGTTGAGAAATGTCACCTTCAACAATGATTTACAGGCACAAGAGGCCGAGGGTGAGAGGAGAAGATTGGTTCGAGAAAATGAAGCTCTTAGAGCCCAGGTTCGACAACTGAAAATAGCAGCCGAGAACCCGGGCAGAAGCAGGAAAGATGAAAGGTTCATTTACAACCTTACTCAAAAGGTGTGTGACTATGAAGATGACTTGCAGAAAGCTGAGTCTGAACTAGCAAAAGTACGAATGAGGTTGGCTAAAAACGCCAAGGTGTGTGCAGCTTTCGTTCAACAGATGAAAGAAAGATATGAAAGAGGGGTCACAGGTTGGGAAAAGGAGATTAGCAACCTCGAAGGTGAAATGGCTAAACAAGCCAAGAATTTTAAAGCCGAGAGGGAACATTGTTACGCCATGATGGCACGATTAGAAGGGGATCTACAGCACTTGTAAGAGCAAAATCACACTGCTACCCAGGTCTTAGAAGCTATATCCCAACAGATTGGGCGTTTGCTGCAAGGAAAGGGCATTATAAGAGAAACGGTCAGGAGGATTGCTGACTACATTGCAATGAAATGAAGTGCGTGTGAGGACATGACCAGATCCATGTTTTTCGCCACTGTAATGATCTTTGTCCGTCAGATAATAGAGGATCTATATCAGCTCCAAGATGACATAGCAAGTAGGCCCGCTGCTAGACCAGTTGGTGTTCCTAGGACAGGGTTGGAGGCACTGATGTTTTCTTGATTGTATTTTCTTTTTCTTTTCGAGTCTGTATTTTCATTTTTTTAAAAAAAACATGTTTTGAGTCTATTTTAAATTCCTAGAAAAGGTATGTCCTGAGTCTATTTAAAGTTGTAAAGTCCTAGAAAAGTATGTTTCGAGTATTTTGTAATTCAGTAAAGTTGTATTAATGAAAATTTGAAAAACCACAAAAATTATTCTTTTATTTTTTGCATTTACCTCTTGAACTACATTATGATCTGATTCGTGTGGTGTCGTGATACGTAGGCAATCCTCATCGGATTCGGACATGATTTCTGTAAACAATTTAAATAAAAGAAGGAAAAAACGAGAGAAAACCAAAATAAAGAAAAATAGAAAAATGAAAAAGAAGATAAAGGAAAGA